TCAGCTTTTAATATTTATTCTTATTTCATTTTGTCATCTGTGTTCGTTTTAAAATATTAATTGTTGGATATTCCCTCGGATTTGAGCCTGGGCCTGATCAACCCGTGTCTCGGATCCGAGGGGTATCACAACTAGCCTTAAAATTGCGTTTCTCAACATCTATCCGTTGATATAACCAACGCATAAAATTTGTAGCCCAATAATCTCATCCTTGACCAAGCGTTCAAGTCTCTTTTAAGAGACATTCCCCAATATCCTATGCATAACATAGATGAATCATCTCTAATCAAAATACGATTTTATTCGAACAGTATCGAGTCAATTGAAAAACAAGAAGCAGATTTGATCACATCCGGATCCATCTACCATGTTTATACCTATACTTTTACCAAGTTTGGTTCAAATATTAACATGGAAATTTTCTTCCCTGCTTTGTTTTTCTTTTTCACCACAATAGCCTTTTTTTTATTTTTTTTATTTTTTATTTTTTATTTTTTTTCTTCTACAGAACCAACATTTATCATTCCATGATTAATGTTTTTTTTATGTATTGTTCTGTCTTTCTTTATTATATTTAGCCTTATACATTTTCTTGCCGTCTAGTTTATTCTTGAAACGATTCTTGCTGTCACGGCAAGATGAACTGACTCGATTTTAACTCCCTTGAGTCGTTCCCCTTCAATCACACAAAGTGCTAACAGCTGGCTAATGCCACATTTAACTTTTTGTGAATTATAATTCACCTTGAAAAGCTGAAAAAACTTAAGTAGAGAATAGATTACCAAGTGGACAAATAACTTATCATCAAATATGATTCCCTACTACCTCAAATAATTAACTAGCTTGCACATCTTATAGATGTACTCCCTCACTAAACCATTGCCATCATATCTAACTAACATAAATCATGTCAGATAATAGTATTGCAGTTGCTTCTTAATATCCATTAACTCTTTCTTGATTAAATCAAGAAGTTCATTGGCAGTATCAAAACTAGAATACCACCATGAATAATATCACCAATAGAAGCATAAATTAATCTAATAGCATGGTAGTACCTTTAGTCCACTTAAAAATGCAACAACTTTTCTACCTAAGAAGACTCTGCACTGGGCATATAGGTTTCTTCCTAAAAAAAAAAAAAAAATACAGACTCGTAATCCAAGAAACCCAATATAATATCAAAACCTGACTTCTAGGCAATATAATTTTAACTATTCAATGGTTCAATCCCTATAAGCTATCTTTAAATTGCGAAAACGTCTGTAACCTGAATAAATGTTATATTGAATAACATCACATAAACAACATATAAAATAATATGTCACAGTTTTATGGATTATTACTTTAATTCGTGCTTGCGGTTTTAAGCCAAAATTTTCAGAGTGTTTTACTATGTGCAAAAACTGTCCACCCTGCGGGAAGAGATAAAATGCCATCTAAAAATTACATTTTGGCATAATTTTAGATTTTACTTTACCTCCCAAACCTACGATAAAATCTCACATAGACCTATTTGATTATACTTGAATTATTGCTAAACACTTCCACTACCTTTTGGTAAGAGGGTTATTTAGTTATAATTCAAGTACTCTCAAATATTCTACTCACTTATCCCACACTAAGACATTGATCACTTTTTAGCAGAACAAATGCCCTTATGTAAGTAAGTGCATTGTAAGACATCAATAAGACTAATGCCTTAAAATTTTAATAAAATAATAACCTCCATGAGCGTGTCACCTTTTGGCAGGCATCACCCACTTTAGCTATTACCTTTGGAACGGTCACTTTACCGGTCTTCCTAAACCCCAAGGAAGAACTTATACTGCAGAAGTTCCATTTATTTAAGTTCAACAACTTCTTTATAATGCACATAAATTAAACCCAAATATTATGGAACACTTGATTTCACTGTAATATAAATGACTTTAATACAAATACAAATAAAGCCTTTTCATACATCTTAAGAAATTACAGTGAACAATATAATAATAACATATCAATCAAGATTTAAAAATCTCAATTCTTTATATACTTTAATTAAAATAAAATAATAAAAAAACTTGATGCATGTATATTATATATCCGATGAACAATTTAAAGTACTTAAATCTTTAAATCAATTAGATCAAAAATACTTGCTTATGGCACACAAGCCCCCATAAGTTTTTCAACTTAAAATTGAACAAATACCATGAATTACTCATTAAAAACACTGGACATAGCATGTGACTAAACCGCCACGTAGTTTCACATTAAACTAATAAATCACTTGTACATGTATATATTACATGCAATAATTTATCCATACTTAATATATACTGGTCAAATAAATCATTCCATATTGGTTCTATTATGATGCAGAGAAATCAAGATTCTCAATCTCATTATAATTTGATCACAAGAAAATTCTCAATGTCATTGTACTTTATTTGCTTTGCATAGTATATATATCGTGTATACATAAACTATTTGAGTATTAACATAGTCATACATATATTGGCCAAATTCCATGTACACAAAATAAATTCCAAGAAGAGTTTATAACATTCATATTTTAGTGTTCATCAATTACCACATGATTTATGCAATATAACTAGTAAAACCACTGCTACAAAAACTGTACTGTTATTTATACAAAATAATGCATATATATTTATAGAGAAAAGAACTTTGTTCCTTTGGCATGCAAATGGAATCCAAAAGGACAATTCCTAATCATTATTTATTCTTGCTTCAAATAAAAACTATCTTGATGCATACAATTTCCATTTCTTTGACTAGCTTTAAAGAAAATACTAATTGATCATTATAATAACAATAATCAATTAAAACCATTAGACAAAAAAATTGATACAACATTAGGTATCACAGTCGGTTTCTACAAACAATAACAAAAGTTATTAAAATCTTTTAAATTAGTCAAGCATGGTTATCAAGATACTGAAACCCAAATAATGCATCCAATATAAATATTCTGCAAAAGTAATACTGCATGCAATCAACAGTGATTCATTAATTAGAGAAATTTCTGCAAATTCAAACTGAAATTATAAATCCAAGTATTTATAATTTTCTTTTCAATTTAGTTTCAAAAGAAACAATTTGGGTCACAATATAGCAGAAGTAAACATGTTTATATGTTTCCACACTTATATCATTGTCTTCCTCGTTCAGCGTGCTTGTGTTATAAAGAAAACAATTGCATAGCAAATAGAGTTGCTTAAAAGTTTTTGTTCGGCGTGCACAAGCCATGGTATGTACGTGATTTAGCATTAAAAACAAAACCTTATATGTTTATATATAAATCAATTATTGTACAAACAAACATAATTTATTTATTTTTATTTTTTATTTTTTTTAGCCTTACATCTACTTGGTCACGCACAAAAATCCAATATTGATGCAATCAGTGCAATTTTAAAAACACCATAAATCAATCTTTACTATTTGATTTTTACAAACCCTAACTTTGCTCTGGTACCAATTGTTGGGTTTTAATCAAATTAATCCATGTAGAAATTAAAAATACTTTAATTAATTAAAAAATAATTTAGATTCGTACCTGATTGATGATTAAAACACATATACCTTTAGAATATTCATGTAATCCTCTGTGAGTTCCTGCAAAATATTAGAGCGCTTTACCCCCCTGTGAGAGTTGTCGATACGACTGGATGCGATAAGTCTGAATAAGGGTTTTAAAACCCTTATATATAACAACAACAGGGGGGACGATTTCTCTGCAAACAAACATATCTAATTCTCTCTTCCTATCATGGAAACTTAGATATCAATGGTTAGAATTAAATCACACCAAATAAGTTGGAAAACCACAATCTAACGGTATAAAACCATACTCCCAATTCGACCACCAAATTGAAAAGTACAACCCAATCCATCAAGTATCAATAATCACATTAGAATCATATTTTAGAAAACATAGTGTATAAGACCATGAAATAATTTTTATTATTTATATATAAAAATTTCCCTCATACATAAAATAAGTAGATAATATGAAAATGCAAGTGCTTTTCTGAGGTAAATTCCTCGAATTCAGCTCAAATGGTAAGATAACAGATAAAATCAACTGGAATCTACTCTGCATGTAATTAATTTGGAATCCAAATCATTATAACCCTTTTCTTTGGGAGGGTTTAACAACTATCTGTCATATATGCATAGAATTACAAATTGACCACTTCGAAGGTCTTTGGTTCATCATTTTTTACCATGATAATTGATGAAATAGTAGAACCCTGTCTCTCTTTTCTGTTTCCTTACATTCTGTTAAATGAGGATTTGGTACCAGTTTAGACCCACTTCTTTGTGAAGTTTTTTCACCGTAGAACTGAATTTCTTCCAATAGATTTTTCCTTCATCATACTCGTCAAGAACTTCTACTAAACTCATATCCTGCACCAACAAACTAATAGTAATATATTTCCATAACTAGAAACACAAAACAGCAACTAAGTAACATGAAACCTGATCCAATAATCAATTTAAAACAGTTTATTCTCTAGTAGTTGTTAGTCGACGTCAAAAATAATTAACTGCATTAGGAGTTTGACTAAACTAAGAAAGATTAGAGAAGAAAGGACAGGACTGTATGCCCTCTACCGCTCTACGTATCATTTTCATTCAAGACTTGCATCATCTGATAACTCTTCTTTACCTACGTCCAACAGATATTAGTTAGTATAAGACTTTATTCAATAACCCACGTGCCCTTATCCTACTTCTGATCCAATTGGCTGCCATGTGGCATGCCAATTCATGGTGTGAACACTCAAAGCGCCCTATGACCCTTTGAATACGCCATGTTCCCATCGATCATAGGTATACACATACAAAAACATCATCGATCACTTTGGATTAGGGCAACGATATAGTAGTAGTCAATTTGCGGGCTCTTAGCCGCCTAAAGAATGTCTTGTTATAACTTTCGTATATGCCATTTCCAATGTGCTCATGGACCAGCTTAATTGATCGGCCAACTTAATCCATATATGCTACAACATTCTTCTATAAATACATGAGCAACGTACCCTCCTGAAATACATACTGAATCGCAAACACACATATATACATAATGAAAATGTCTCTCCCAATTCTCTTCATCTTTTCACTGATCCTAATTTCCTCCTCCCCTCCTCACACTGCAGCACTAGACTTCTGCATTGCAGACTTAACATTGCCTACTGGACCAGCAGGCTACCCCTGCAAAAATGCTGCCAATGTGACCGCAGACGATTTTGTTTATTCTGGGCTAGGCATTGCAGGTAACACCTCCAATCTTTTCAAATCTGCAGTGACCACTGCATTTGTTACCGAATTCCCTGGTTTGAACGGGCTAGGTCTATCCATGGCCCGGGGAGACATAGCCCCCGGGGGAGTGATACCAATGCACACACACCCTAGTGCACATGAACTCTTGATTATTATTCAAGGGTCAGTTGTTGCAGGATTGATATCTTCTTCAGACAACCAAGTTTACTTGAAAACTCTTAACAAGGGAGACATTATGCTTTTACCTAAAGGCTTACTGCACTTCCAAGTCAATACAGGACAAGTTCCGGTTATCGAATTTGTTAGTTTCAGTGATCCAGACCCTGGTCTCCAAATCCTAGCCAATGCTTTGTTTGCTAACAGTTTGCCTTCGGAATACATTGAGAAGGTCACTTTCCTCGATGATGCTCAAGTCAAGAAGCTCAAGGCTGTTTTTGGTGGCACTGGTTAAGCTCTCCCTCAATATTAATATGGTGTTTTCTGTTTTCTTGATTTGCATGTTGTGCAAGCTAATTAAGGTATGTGTGTAGGATTCTACTTGTTGTCTGCTAGTACTAGCTGTGTCTTTGATTGCTTCATTTTCTATGTCAAATTGTAAGCTAGATGAGTGTAATTGTCAACTCTGCAATAAGCGACTTATATTTTATATTTTAAAAATAAATCCGAAGGCAAACTCCTAGCTTCCATTTGAATAAATTCACTAAGTTAGGTTTGGCGTTTATATGTTTCTTTAATCATTGATTGAGCAGAAACTGTGAGAGCTAAGTTAGCTTCCAGCTACAAAATTACAAATTGGTTATGAAGAAAGGAACACACTTATTTGTCACCCAAAAACAGTAAAAGCTCAAAAAATGATGAGCAGAAACAAGACAGAAAAAAGAAAGTGAGTAATTAAGAATAAGAATCCTCCACTAATTGTTGGAGTAAATCCTCAATAGTCACATCACAAATTAACCCAAATAATATGAACATTTTTTACAATTTTGATAGTCACAATTTGAATGTTAGGTTAACTTTGGTATTATTTGATTAAGAGTAATAATATTTAGATTTATTTGTTAAGTGAATTTGCCGGGCCTAATAGATTTTTATCCATTTAATAAAACGGATAGAGTCTAGTGTGAACCTTATCCATTAACATTAAATGTTAAAAACTCTTACACGCACAGATAGGTCTAAGAATGATTCTCAGGTCCATGTGTGGTCTGGACTTCAAAAACATGCGCTCCAAAATTTCTAAAAGCACAACATGGTATGGTCCCCTCTTAGCAGTGACTTTTCGGATAAACGTAGGACGTAGACAGCCCTGGCCAATACGGGCTTTTCGGAGAAGACATCAATTTAACTGAAAATTGGGCCCATTACCAAATTATATTACTCCATACCTATCTATAGTTTCTATAAATGAGAAAAATTATCGTCGGTTTAAATGATATGATAGGATGGATGGTTCACATATTTTTCTTTAAAAAAAAAAATGTCTCATCATGATTATCTTTTAACGGAGTAAACTAGGGGTGTTCAAAAATTCCGGTAAATCGAAAAATCGAATCAGACCGGACTGAATTGGACGGTTTGAGTTAGTTGTATAATGGTTTGGTCCGGTCCTGGTTTAAGGTCCTACTAGATCGGACCGGCCCGGACTGTTATTATGTTATATTATATATATATATATATCATATCATAAACCTAAAGTAAAGTTCTCACGGGCCCCCAAAATTATCTTAACTTTTTCTTTCTTTTGTTCTTTAAATTCCTTAAATTTCTTTTAAAAAAGCTTCAAATTTCCCTTTTTGAATCATATCTCAATTTTGTTTCCTTTTTTCTTCTTAAAATTCTTGTTTTTGCGTGTTATCAATGTTAGTTGATTTTATTTTTTTATTTTTAAGCTTTGCCCCTTTTGAATTAAAATCCTACCTCTGCCCTTGGCTGCCATGAAACCTTATATACCATAAAAAATAAGAAATTTTGTTTTTAAAAATAAAATAAAAAAGAAATCTACTGAAACCGACAAACCAAACCGGTTTTTTGCGATTTGGTTTGGTTCCATGGGCATTATGGTTCGGTCTAATTTTAAAAATAATGGAATCGTTATAAATAGTTTGATCACAAAAAAACTCCTAATCCGGTCCAAACCGGACCGTGTGCACCACTAGAGTAAACTACTTCAAACAGTGGCAAAGTCACTAGAATTTTTTTTTTTTTTTTTTTTTTTTAGACAAATTCTAAGAATTATAAAATGTCTCCACCAAACTCATAAAAAATTCATTAAAAAGCCTTATCAAAAACTTTCAAATTTTTTTAAAAAACCCCTTCATTCTCTAACTCATTGATCCAATGTAATTTTCAAAATTCAGAAAAAGGTTCATGTCTTTTCTCTTCCAACGAGTACCATAAAAATTAAAGACCCCTCTTTTACTATTTATTATTCTGATTTAATTTTTTATTATATTATTATTAATGGTTCTGTCACGACTCGGACCAGGGGTTCGGATCGTTAACCAAGTTCTTACCCGAACCCGAGGTCATTTAGGGTATTACGGTTATTTCCAATGTAGAAATATAATTAATTACATTTAACTACAGAAGTCCAGTTCAATATATATACGTATCCCAAAAACAAATTTAAACATGTTTCAAAAGAATATGATTACATTTCCGAAGTTACAACTATAAGGCCATTACATAAAATTTGCCAAAACTTTACAAAATGTACATCGTAATACAAGGTGGCAAAAGAAATCCTTTCTAGTCCCGTCTATGCCCATGGAGGATTAACATCCATCAACTATTTCCCATGACCTGAAAAATGTAGAAAAGTGAGCACAAGTCCAATAGAGATTGCCTAAGTGGCATCTCCTTAAACAATGTAAATAATCACATGTCTTACATACAATAAATAGGAAAAAGAGTAAGGGATCATGCAAGAGATTCACATGCAACACTTCTGTTCTCAATTAATCATCATTACCATCCATAAACATTTACAATGCATGAAATGCCCAATGCAACCACACGCCATGCCCACAACCTCACATCCACACCCTTAATCCACACAACCCTCTTCTATTCATGAACACCATCATGCCATACATTTAGAAAATGCTTCAACTTCAATTATTCAAAAAAAAGAAAAAGAAATCATCATGCTTTCATCATATAATTAACATTTCTATGGCCGCAACAAGACAAATTAATAATTTTTTTCAACATTCTAGAATCATCTTGAAAGTGTATAACTAAAGACATCAAAACAACCCTATAGGGAAAAATATATAATCCATCACATAGTCGCTTAATTTCATGTCATTTGCAATCTATACACATAGTTCCATCAAACACATTAGTTAGACAAAACTCATACATAAACCAAAACCCTAGAATCAATTTATGCATTTAGGCTTCAAATTTACATGCCAAAGGAGGAGAAAAACATCCAATTAACTTCTAATTATAAGGAATTTGACAATTAAACAACTCTACCTTAATTTAAAACAAAAGTCTCAATTCAGCCCTAAAACTCGAGATCCCAAAGTGCTCCAAATCAAGCTTTGTTCTGATTAAATCGAAACTCTTGTTATGCTCATTAACTTTGCCTTCTATGGCAAAGTCAAATTCTAAACGGAAATGTGTGGATCTAAGCTTGAAATTGAGAAGGAAAAAGAAAAAGAAAAAGAAAAAGAAAATAGAAATTGCAGAGAGAGAGAGAGAGAGAGAGAGAGAATGGCGCAGGAAGGGGTGAAAGGAATGGTCAGTGGTCATTTGTAATGACTTCAAATCTTATGTGAGGTCTACCTACATAAAATATCTCTTTTGACATCATTATATATATATATACACACACACACACACACCCGCACACACACATGCTATAAATAATTAAATCATACACTTATTCACATAAATATACTTCAAATAAAAATATATGAAATGTAATGATGCCGAAACATAATTCTGTGCATGAAAAATTAGGTGTTGGTCCCACCTAGTCCGAAAATTCGAAAAATGTCGAAATGACCAACAATGCATTTCTAAGAGTTCTGAACTCGAAGAAATGCCCCAAACAACTCTCTGGACTCACACGACACACCTTATGGTATTCGACAAGCAAAGCAAGGCGATGAATAATTATATTCATAAAAATCAAAAAATACCCGAAAAATGAAAAATTACGAAACGTCACAATCTCCCCAACTTACAAGGATTTCGTCCCGAAATCAACCCACCTTACAAGACAAAAATGAAAGGGTACTAAAATGAAGTATGTCTCCGAGCACCCCACACAACATGTTATACCTTACAATCTCGACCTAAAGAATCCCACGTCCCGAGTCACTCGCAACCCTGTGACTTAACGCAACATCGACCGAACAATGACCACAGTCACATGCAACATTTCCCCTACAATAACTAACTGGACGTGAAGGCACTCCTCGTGCTGAACAAAACTCTCTACCGTCACACCCTAACCAAACTCTATGACTCCATCGAGTCCTAACCACTGAGAACCATTAGAATCGTTATCCATCTAACCTGAACATACCATTAGTCGATACCGAATCCGCAAACGACAACCCAGTACATCTGCACCGACACACGCATATGAGATCAAGGAAAACACTCATTCCAAGTCAAAACTGACCCAATATAAAAATCGCGTCAACGTAATCCTTACGCAACATCTTACCAGGAAGCTGTTGGATCCTATACGAAGTAGGCTCAACTAGCAACGGCTCACGCAATCCGCGCTAAACACCCTAAAGCTCACAAGGCAGCAGTTACCAAACCGCTCAATGAACCAACATGCAAGATCAACTCGCAATCCCAAGGATACTCTTAAAATCATCTCTGACAATTATTGTCTTCAATAACTATAGCATAGGTGAACACCCACAACTGTAACCGATAAGGTCATCCAACTTGGCAAATGTACCATCACGTATCCGGAAGACTTTAAAAACATGGACGAGCCTCCAAAATTTCTAGAAACCCAACAAGGATGGTATGGTCCCCTCTTAACAGTGACTTTTCGAATAAACCTAAGCATGTGGACAGCCCTCGCCAAAGCCCATATAAAGTTCCAATACTGGCTTTTCAAAAGAAATAAATTTAAAGGAAAAATCAGTCCATTACCAAATTATGTTTTTCCATATATATCTACAACTAACAAAGCTAAAAAACCAGCAATAAGAAAGCTTATACATAAAATAAGTAGATAAAATAATATGAAAATGCGAGTGCTTTTCTCAGGAATTTACCTCGAATCTACTCTGCATGTAATAAATTTGGAATCCAAATCATTATAACCCTTTTCTTTGGGAGGGTTTAACAATTATCTTGTATTTGAATTGAATTATGCATAGAATTACAAATTGACCACTTTGAAGGTCTTTGGTTCATCATTTTTTACCATGATAATTGATGAAATAATAGAACTCTCTCTTATCTGTTTCCTTACTTTTTGTTACATGAGAATTTGGTACCTTTTTAGACCCACTTCTTTTTGATATTTTTTCACCGTAGAGCCGAATTTCTTCCAAGAGATTTTTCCTTCATCATACTCGTCAACAACTTCTACTAAACTCATATCCTGCACTAACAAACTAATAGTAATATATTTTTGGGTTAAGTGCAAAAAACTCCCCTAAACTATTGCCCTTTTACAAATAACCCCCTTAAACAAAAAATCGCCCCATGAACTATTGATTTATTGCAATTAAAGACAAATCCATCACAAAAGACTATTTTACCCTTTCTTATTAAAATTTTCACTTCTTATTAAATTATTTTTATTATCTTTTCTCTTATGTAAATATTAATTATACTATTTACCTTAATTTTATTTTTAGTATCAATTTATCATAAAAATTGAAAAAAATAGATAAATGGATTTATAACTACCATTTTCAAAATTGATTAACTTATTATTAAAACTTTATAATTTATAATAAAAAGTATCATAACCAATTTAAACATTTTTATCGTGAAAAAAAAAATATCATCCTTTTCATACAATATATTGATGAAAAATTAATAAAATACTTTTGAAAAAAATACCTTCTTTTCATGTAATATATTCATTAAAAATTTAAAAATTAATTAATTTTTTAGAAACATTTCTACCAAATTTTTTATTCAAATAATTAATTAAAAAAACTAAAGGTAAATTTATGCAAATTTAATGAAAAATTTCTCTTCAAATTAGTATGAATTTTTTTATAATTTATTTAGATAGGAAAAATATATTAAATGTAATTCAATAAGAAGAGGCATTATGGTCATTTAATGAAATATAGTATAGTTTTTGGGGTATGTTGCAACAAAATGAGATAGTTTAAGGGGTTTTATGCACAAAATATAGTTCAAGAGGATTATTTGCAAATTCAAACATAATTCAAGAAGGTTTTTTGCACTTTACCCTATATTTCGATAACTATAAACACGAAATTGCAACTAAGAAACATGAAACCTGATCCAATAATCAATTTAAAACAGCTTATTCACACATCTCTCTAGTTTAGGTAGTTCTTAGTCGACAATGGTAGGTTGGAATGTTTTCTTATCTGGACATTATAGAAAATTAAAGAAAATTGAAGAATTTGAGAGGAAATAAACAGAGAATAAAATAATAGAATAGTCCAAATTACTACATATCTTTTATTATAATAATCTCTTTTTATGTTCAATACAATGGTGAAAATCCTTTATTTATCGAAAATAACATCAATACTGAAAGATTTTTTCTCTAAAAATTTCTCTAGTATTTTCAATAAAAGGAAACATCAAATAATGGAGGATTTTTCTCCATTGATTCCTTTAAGGCTCCGTTTGGTTTGATGGAAATAAACAAGAAAACAAAAAAAATAGAAAGTGAAAGAAAAGAAAAGATATTTTCATGCATTTGGTTATGATGAAAATTTATCCAAGAAAATTATAGAAAAATATTAATTTGTCAATTTGGATAGCATGAAAGTGCAAAAAAAATGATTATGAATACCAAAACTACCCTTCCGAAGTAAAATGATGGATTATTAAATTCAAATATATAATTGTTTATATTCATTTCTATTATTTATATTTAGAATAAGCCTTCATAATATTATCTTCAATAAAACTAATTATTAGTTTAAGATAAACAAATTAAAAAAGATAAAAAAAATTAGAGATAAAAGGGGCAATACGTTTGCGAGAAAAATCAAATATTTCACCATATATATATATATATATATATATATATATATATATATATAATATGGATTAACATAGAATTAAAAAAAATAAAAATTTCTATTTATAAGGAGGATCTATTTTGAGAAATTTTACCTAAATTATCATTATATTCTGTATATATAAGTGTATAATTTTTGTTGCAAACTTACCTCAGAATAAAAGTTGTTTTGAAGAGAACTTCGGTAAAATAGAAATTGTAAATATACAAGGCTTCTTTTACGTGAAAATAAAATTTTCATGTTTTTTTGGGAAAATACTCAATGCGGAAACTAAATTTTTCATTCGATTTTTCTTTCTATCTATCCAAACTTTTAAAATTGTTTCCACCTAACCAAACAAAGCCTTAATAACAAATATAACAAGAAACATCAAATAATGGAGAATTTTTCCCAGTGATTCCTTGAATAACAAATATAATAGTAAATTTTCAACAATAAGAAAAAACATCAACACGGGAAGATTTTCCTCCATTGATTCCTCTGATAAATCTTCAAGGGTTCATCCATATGTGCGACAACATTCTTCTATAAATATATGAGCAACGTACCCTCGTGAAATACAAACTAAATCACAAACACACACATATCTTGTGAAAATGTCTCTCCCAATTCTCTTCATCTTTTCGGTACTCCTAATTTCCTCCTTCCCTCCTCACACTGCAGCACTAGACTTCTGCATTGCAGACCTAACATTGCCTACAGGACCAGTAGGCTACCCCTGCAAGAACCCAGCCAATGTGACCACGGACGATTTCGTATATTCTGGGCTAGGCACTGCAGGTAACACCTCCAATAGTCTTTTCAAATCTGCAGTGACCACCGCATTTGTTACCCAATTCCCTGGCTTGAACGGGCTAGGCCTATCCATGGCCCGGGGAGACTTAGCCCCCGGGGGAGTGATACCAATGCACACACACCCTAGTGCACATGAACTCTTGATTATTATTGAAGGGTCAGTTGTTGCAGGATTGATATCTTCTTCAGACAACCAAGTTTACTTGAAAACTCTTAACAAGGGAGACATTATGCTTTTTCCTAAAGGCTTACTACACTTCCAAGTCAATACAGGACGAGTTCCGGTTATCGAATTTGTTAGTTTCAGTGATCCAGACCCTGGTCTCCAAACCGTAGACAATGCTTTGTTTGCTAACAGCTTGCCTTCTGAATACATTGAGAAGGTCACTTTCCTTGATGATGCTCAAGTGAAGAAGCTCGAGGCTGTTTTTGGTGGCACTGGTTAAGCTCTCCCTCAACATTAATATGGCGTTTTTCTGGTTTCTTGATTTGCATGTTGTGCAAGCTAATTAAGGTCTGTGTTAGGATTCTACTTCTTCTGTACTACTATTAGCTGTGTCTTTGATTGCTTCATTTTCGGTGTCAAATTGTAAGCTTGATGAGTGTAATTGTCAAGTCTGCAATAAGCAACTTTTATTTTTTATTTTAAAAGTAAATCTGAAATTAAGTATCTGTTTCTTTAATCATTGATTGAGCAGAAACTGTGCGAGCAAGTTAGCTTGCAACTACAAAATTACAAATTGGTTTAGAAGAAAGGAATACAATTATTGTCACCCAAAAAAATAAAATAAAAAGAAGAATATGAGATATAACAATGGTGGATGGATGCTCAAAAAATGACGAGCAGAAACAAGACAGAAAAAAGTAAGTGAGTAAGAATCCTCCACTAATTGTTCGAGTAAATCCTCAATAGTCACGTCACAAATTAACCCAAATAATATGAACCTTTTTTTACCATTTTGGTAGTCACAATTTGACTGTGAGGTTAACTTTGGTATTATTTGATTAAGAGTAATAATATTTAAATTTATTTGTTAAGTGAATTTACCGAGGCCTAATTTTTTTTTTTATCTATTTAATATAACGGACAGAGTCAGGCGTGAATCTTATCCATTAACATTAAATGTTAAAAACTCTTACTCGCATATATAGGTAGTTCTAAGAATGATTCTCAGGTCCATGTGAGGTCTGGACTTCAAAAACGTGCGCTTCAAAATTCAAAAAAAACCCAACATGGACTTTTCGGATAAACGTAGGATGTAGACAGCCCCGGCCAATGCGGGGCTTTTCAGAGAAGACATCAATTTAAATGAAAATTGGGTCCATTACCAAATTATATTACTCCCTATATATCTATAGAATTTCTATAAAAAAAAAAAAAATTATCATCAATTCAAATGATATGATCTCTCCTACTAAAGGAAGGATGGTTCATATATTTTTCTTAAAAAAAATGTCTCATCATGATTCTCTTTTAACGAAATAAACTACTTGTGACAAAGTCATGGAATTTTTATTTATTTTTACCTTTAATACAGAAATTTTAATAATTATAAAATGCCTTCACTAAACTCATAAAAAATTCATTAAAAAACCTTTAAAAAAGCCCTTCATTTTCTAACTCATTGACCCAGTGTAATTTTCAAATTTCAGAAAAAGGCTCACGTCTTTTCTCTTCCAGCGAGTACCACAAAAATTTTAAGAATTAAAATTAAAAAAAAGACCCCTCTTTCACTATTTATTATTCTGATTTAATTTTTTTTTATTATAATACTATTATTATTGGTTATTCCCTCTTAAAATAAATTTCTAACTCACTTTAAATGCTCGTGATTTGATATTGAGCGAAGAATACCATTTTGTATAATAGGTGAGATGTAATAATTAATTTGCCAATAGCGCAATCAATGCCACCAATCATTGACAGTCAAGAAGAGTGGACTTCGTGTGGCGGAGAAGAAAGGGATGGAAAATGTGGGGACTTTTTTAATGAAACTTCATCAAAGAGAAAGAGAAGAAGAAAGAACCTATATAAAGAAGCCAGCCAACAACCAACATAGCTAAAAAACCAGCAACAAGAAAGCTCAAACATAAAAGATAAATGGCACTACAAAGCTAAAAAAATACACCGAACAACTGAAATCACTGTAGAAGGAGATGAAGATTAGGGGGTGTTTTCTTGCACTAACTTTCCATGAGGTGTGGACAAATTGCGTACTGGTAAACGGTTGATCACTTGAGTTCTAAACTTGTTTGCCAAGGATCGAAAAATGACTCTGTGAAAAGTCTTAGTAATCTCTTAATTTTTATATAATATATTTTATTTAAAGATAGGGCAATATTACCATTTTATAAAAATTTAACAAATTTTTTTTTAAAAAAAACACTAAGGGGGTCATTTAGCACACGCTCCCAAATCTCAAAGCCAAATCGACGTTTTTATTGCAAGATATGAACATTTGTTTTTTCTTAACCATATAGGGATGAAAAGAAAAGAAAAGAAAAAAACAGCTTTAGAGAATTATTTTGGTATCATTGATATTCAGAAGAAACAATCTGTTTAGCATATCTCCAATTCCCCTCGTATTTTCAGTGTTTTTTCTAACCACGTAAAAGTATGGTATATCACCTCCTGGAAAAAGTCACATCTCACTCTTGGAAATGTAATTCAGCGTAAAGAGATCCAATCCACAGAATGAACTTTCTGATGTATTTCATTCAAGAATTATCTACCTTACTCATCAGCAGACCCTCAAATCAAGCTGCAATTTCCTTAAACTCGTCGTAGTAGTGGTTCCATGGTACGCTTTGCATTTCTTCCCTCTGAGCTGGTACATCTCCAAAATGATGGATTGATTTTCTCTCGAGGATGAAATTATAAGACTTCCACTCCCCAAAAAAATCCTTGATTCTCCCCTCCCGCAGCTGAACTCAAAACTGTATAATCAAACAGCACGAAAGTGTAACTTTAATCTTTACTCTTTCGGTGTTGTTTCACAAATACATCCCGGAAGGGGATTCGCGTAAAAACTCTCTTCTAGTTTTGGGAACTCGCCCGACTCCCTTAAATATGGACCTCCAACTCGATCTTTGTGAAGCTTTTTCACTTTAGAACTGAATTTATTCCAAGAGATTTTTCCTTCGTCATACTCATCAACAAGTTTTACTAAATTCATCCTGCACCAACAAACTAATAGCAATAAATTTCCGTGCACATGAAAATGTCTCAACTAGAAACATGAAACAAGAAGAAAAACAGCAACAACTAGAAAAACAAAACCTGATGCAATTGGAAACAACTTATTCAGACATCTTTATATAGTTAGAAATGGTAGCTTGGAATGTTTACCTATCTGGACTGATAGTTTTCTTGAAGTCCTCAAAGCGCCTATGACCTTGAACTGCCTTCGCCATGTTCCCATCGTAGGTATAAACAAAAACATCACTTTGGAGGGCAACAATATAGTCCAAACCAGCTAGCATGTTTTGGTGATTCCTGAACTGATTCAGTTCTTCTTCTGTTGAAAGAGTAGAATGAGTATAGATGTACGGGAAGTCTTCCATGAGATATTGCATACTTCCATTCCCATAAGCTTCGCCAGCTACCAAGTATATCCTAGTGCTGGATGGGAAACCCAGCCCTTTGAGCAAAAGGGAAGTCTCCCTTGGGGTTAATGGGCACCCACCAAGCTTCCTCCTCTCTGCCCCATCAATCTCTTTTTCCTTCCAATGGCTGACCTCATACCGCATCCTGCGGAGTTCCTCATCTTCTTCTGCTGTCAAATTATGACTGCAGCCTGTAAATGCAAGCATATCCTTCTCATACCTATATGAAAAGGGAATAATGAGTGAAAAAATAATAATAATAAATAATAAAATAAATAAATCTTAAATCCAATCAACTTCTATGACATATATGAACACATTAGCTAAAGTAGTAAGTACTGCAGCTGGCAATAATGGGGGCAGTAGTGCCTTTTTTATTTTTTTGCTCTATATCTTTACAGATAATTAGTTAGTCTTAAAATTCAGGCTGTGAAAGATGGTATGCAAGCCAGTGATCAAAAGGAACTAATTATTATTCCTAGTCCTATCAGCTATCAGAAGTAATTTATTTTTTACTATTACTACTACAATTATATTTAGGTGTTTAGTGGAAGATGATCAATATGGACCACAAGAGAAAGTAATTGAATCCCAGATAAGTTTATCCAAGTTAAGAACCAACCGTATAAAACCACCATGTTTCCAGAGACCTTGTAAAACATATATACTAATTTCTGAGGTCCATATGGGGTACAAATGGTAAAGATGCATTCTCCAACGATACAACACTAAAAGGTTGATACAACTTCGTCAAATCATTTTGAAATCCAAATCATAAGTTGTGGTTCTTTTTTTGAGAATGTTGAAATCATTTTTCAGTAAGGCACATTGACTTCCATTGATTCTTACAAATAAAAGATACAACCTTATCTAACAGGTCACATTGTGAAAATCCTGTACCATAGTATGTGTGTGTGTGTGAGGGGCAGAGAGAGAGAGAGAGCAAATAAATGTCACTGATTATCATGAAATTCCCCTTACACCATAAACAGAGAGCAAATAAATGTCACTGATTATCATGAAATTCCCCTTACACCAGAAAAATGATATTCTAATCCCAGATTTTATTATTATTATTATTTTTTTTAACAAGTCTAATCCCAGATTCTTTAAATACTATAACAATCTGAAATTACCTTAAATGGAGAGCAAGATAAGGGCATCCATTCTGTTGCATTCTTGCAACCAAGATCTTTCCGAGTTCTTCTATTGGGGCTGAATATTTCAATGCCCTGTAATTTACACGGCATCTCAGTTTTTGTATGGAATGCGGGAGACCATTGTTGGCAATTCGAGAATCGGTGTGAGTAAAATACATAACTTTGTGCTGCTTCAAAAGTGGGAGAACCTCTGATTTATAATAGCTAGCCTGAACCAAAGATCGTGTGTTTACTTAGTCATTTGAATTTCATAGAAATCTAATAATGAATTGAAAAATATAGCATGGTCTTGTCAGTTGATGACAAGACATAACCACACAAATCTAGAATGGTCTGAAAGTGAGAATCCAATATTTGGGCCAATCAAATATCTTTAATTAGCTGATCCAAAATCAGCAAACAATCCATTTTTTAGGTATCCTTAATGATGCAAAATCTAAGTGCAGTCATTTGTGTACTGGCTATATTGCCATGAGACCAATTGTATGGAAGGAATTATAACAGCTATGTTCTGAGGACAGCCCCATATTTTCATTCCACTGTAGATATTAAAGGATCAATAAGTTGGTATAAACCTTAGACCAAGATATTGGTGTTTTGGTGAAAGGCTCGATTTCAGCATAAGCAGGAGGTAATGTTTCAACTATATGGATATCATCCTTGAGTGTCTCAATGAAGTATCGCCAATCAAACAGATCTTTAAAGCCACTGCAAATAAACAAAATGAGTTAACTCAAAGTAGATCACCATTAAATTTCAAGTCTATTCTCAAAGAACTTATGCAGGGGGTGTCAAACAAATCAACCTAGCAAACGTAATTATTTAGTTGTAGTTAATAATGAGAGGTATCGGTCAAAAGACTGATGCTGTAGTCCAATTCTTTAGTTATCCAAATTAAAAGTAGAAGTAGAGAAAAACCTTTCATCAGCCCAGTAGGAGGTGTGATCAAGTGAAGGAAGGACAAGTGTTGCCTTCATAATTTTAGCGACAGCAACCATATCACAGATCTGCACTCTAAAATTATGTGTTTATCAGACTATAGTTGATATTAATACTTAGCAATCAATAAAATCATCAAAACACACAGCTACCAGACCCCAAATCTCATCTGATTCAAGCCACCATTAGCATTTATGAGAAGATACCCATTTGTCTTCGCATCCAGCTCTGCTGAGAGAAGCAAAAGGAAAGATGTTCAGAATACAAGCTCCTAAAACACACAGTGGGAGCAAATTTTCCTCAAGTGCAGAGAATTCTTACTTTTGTGATTTTTTGACCGGTCAATGCACCGAGTGAAATTCTCACTGTTGGGTTTGGACCAAATACCTGAATGCTAAAGAATTTCATGCCACAATAAGGCGCTAACCATATTCTTCATAAATTTGTTTGCAACATAAATTTGAGACTTACTTGGGCTATGCTGTTCTGCCTACCAACTACACCTGATGATACCATCATTAAAGTTCGTTCCACATCACTTCCTCTATCATCAGGATCACTTTTTCCCTCCCTATATCCATCATGAGAGCCATGGTCCATTGGATCCAGACGAGAAATGGAGGATTCGGTCATATCCTAATTAGAAAAAAAAATTAAAAAGGGGGTTGAATTAAAATAAAAGAAGAAACAAATAAATGAAATGAAATGAAATGTATGTATTTACATGCTTTCAAGAATATAAATCATGTTGTGATGTAATGGTGGACAGCCAATAACAGTCAACAATATAAGAGTATTGTGCTGGTTCATGGTTTTGCATTATCCCCCATTAAAGTTATAAATCAGAATGCAATATAAGAATGTGCTAGTTCATGGTTTCTGTTAAAATTCATTTGACAGTTGAGGACTCCCATCATCTCCAATTTTTGTGTAAAAACTAAAGAAAATTCAATCTCAATTAAAACATTATAAGTTTATTAATTATTAATATAAACCGCACAAACTAATAGTCTCTTGCTTAACAAAGGGAGGTTCCATGCTAAAGGACAAACATCTTGTAGGGCTAAATTCTTTCTAAATTGCATTTTGAACCGAGAGCAACTGAATGAAAAGAAACTTGGTATTTTCATTCTTCACCAGCAATATTCAATTATCAACACTATATTTATCTATGTTATATGGACTCTCCTACCAGCTTTTGGAGACATATATTAAGATTTGGAATTCCAAGAGGCCCAGCACTCGAACACATACAGGCACCTGATGCACTTAACCGATTCCGGTAAACATAGTTTTTTATTTTTTTTAATTATTTTGTTTTAACTGTCCTTTCACTAACACATAAACGAGCAACCAACAAAGAACTTAAGAAAGAAGAAAATAGGGCTACATTTCGTATTTTCATTTCTGAAGACTATAAAAATAAGTTTTGTAAACCACCAAAACACGCAAATTCAGTCAGCAAATATAATTTCATATAAATTAAACCTACCAACTAATAAACGTTACATTTTTGCATTGATTGATTCAAAGCTTCAACATAAACAATTCAAAATGCTATCTATGAACGGTCATTTCCTAACGTAATCATTCCACACCTGAAAAACTAATTAATAAACTAAGCATATAAATATATGTATTTCAGTTCAAGAAGTGAATCAACCTGATTGGACCCGACCCTTTCAATCACAGATCCAAACCACCCATTAGCACAAATCTTGAAAACACCCATAAACAAACAAACCCCACAAAACACAAAGAACATCCAATGCCCCAACTTCTTCTTCTGTCTCAAAACCAAATCTACCGCAATTGATCCAATATGCTTCTTCACATGACCTCTCTGGATAAGATGATAATGGCTCTGCTTCTTTTCTAGCGCAGACTCAAACCCATCAACAGAAGCCGAGTTGGTGGCGAGCTCAGATCTGGGTGAGTTCAACTGGAGGTCGATCTCATGGTGGATGTTATTGTTATTGCCGCGCTTAAAGGATGGGGCTCGGCGAGTCATGGGTCCCGAGAATCGTGGGCTGTTAACGCGCTGAGAAACGCCATCGGTGGCGGTGTTGTGGTGGTGGCTATGGTGTTGATGAACACCCATGTGGGCTGTTATGAATCGATAGATATATATAATGGCTATGATGAAGATTGATCGGATGACTGTGGAGTTGTCTGTTGTTTGTGTGGGAATGTATTGGTCGTATTAACAGAGTGGACGACTGAAGAAGAATCGATCCAGAAGAATTGAACTGTAGGCTTGTGGTATTAGTACCCACCCACCACGCGACAATCTCTTTGGCGTGTCTGAAATCCGAGAATGGAGGTCTGGTGTTGAAATTTAGTACTCCGATAGGAGTGATTTACATTTACCCCTATTGTGCGTTCTAATTACGAATCTGACACTCAACAATTAATTAATGCAATTTATTGAACCACCCAATTATGAACCATATTAGTATTTTCTCCTAATCTCCTCCTTTGGGAAGAATTACTACGCTTCATATATATGGAAAAATGATAAAAGCCACTTATTAGTATAATAATTTTGTTTTAACTATCTCGGAGGAAAGAGGCTTTATCTTTATTCATTATTAATTAAGAGTTTTTATTTAAGAATGAAGTTATAAAAAATTTAAAAAAATGAATTGTCGATTGTAGCTTAACCTGATATGATATGATTAGAGGAGTGCTATTTACATTGACAAATAAAAATCTACTATTTTATCGAGTCTATGTGGTTATTTATGTGTCAAATATAGTGAGATCCATTTTAAAATATATAACAAGTAGTTATTTGTAAAGTTGTATATATTTTTGTTGGCGATTAAATTTTAAATTACTGTGTATATTAAATTGTATATGTATTTTATATATACATCACATTGCATCTCTTTAAGACATAGGTACTTAAGATTGCATCTCTTACATATAATTACATAGACATTTATTTATGGACAATATTTAGGTCATCACTAGTAAAGTTATACAATATACTCATCGATGTGTACCAAAAAGAAATGGACCCATTCTATTTTAATTACCAAATCATAAATGATAATCAAATTAATGTCTTTGATTTGGTAAGTGAATATTTACCCACCATCTTCGATTTAGTAATTAAAGATCACATATTAATTTATTATTGAGAGAAATTTAAAGAAAAATTGCAAAGAATTGAAAATTTGAAAAATATGACAATTTTTGTTCTAAATTTTGTACCAATCAAATTCTTATACTTGAGAACCATGAAAGTTGCTATGAAAACGAAAAAAAGATGATACAGTTATAGAAAACCAAAAAGATAAGGGAAATAGTTGAAAGATAAAGAAAGTAGTTATGGAAAGTTGAAAATTTAAGTAAAGGGAAATGGATGTAATTATGGTAACAAACTGAAATAATAATGATGCTTATTTAAGTTGAAATTTTATAATAACACGTCATATTTTTATCTCTATTTATTTTAAGTCGGAGTATTAAAATCATCAATAATATCATTTTTCATATGATTACATTCATGATATAAATATGTTCATATTGATGTGTATGATTAAAGTAAATTTAGATTAATAGCTCAATTTAAGGGTTCTTTAACCATTTAGAGCATCTCCAATAATATGTTAAAATACCATTTTGTGTAAAATATACAGTGCCACTATGATGTGTAAATTTTTTTCATCTCCAGCAGTCTATTAAGATATATTGCCACATCACCCAATGTGTAAATTTTATATTGTCAAATCAACATATTTCCTTTCTCATCCATTTTTCTCGTTCTATTAAAGAATCAACCATATTTTTAGTAAGTTTGTAAAAAATATATGAAATCCTGGCATGACACATAGTTAATTATTATTGGGAGATATATTTTTACACAAAAGGTATAAAACAACAGTTGTAGCTAAAATTAAATAATTCAAAATTTTTGTATAAATTTATCGTGACACATCAAATTTACACAAAAAAAAATATACACGACGGTTAGAGATGCTCTTAGTTACATTGGGCCTATTCACTTTATTAAATGAATAAAAATCCCTGGACTACAAATTTCAGTTTAGAAAACAAGTCTATAGTATTTTTTTGATATTCTCTTCTAAGGAAAATTATTCTTATAACTAAACAAACCATTGTTAATGATTCCTAAGTCCTAAATTTTTTTTTTTTTATATTCTCTTCTAAAAAGGCAAAATGATTGGACTAAACAAACCATCGTTAATGATTTCCTAAAAGACGGTTGATTTCTTTTTATTAGGGCCCTACAATAATGCGTCTAAATAACTAATTCAGTCAAGTCTTTGGAATGTTTCTCTCAATTTTACCAGCACATTTCTTTTAAAAGTTTCAAAGCAACCTAATAACATTTATTTTTCTAAATCATAAAATTCTTAATTTTATTTAGATGTGTTCGTTGCATGTAATTGAAATTGATAGAATTTGATAAAAATAACTAAAAAAAATTGAAACAAACTTTTTTCAACTTTTACAAATTCCAATTCCAATACTTCAACGCACACTTAATGAAGAATATTTGAAAAATATCAAAATTTACATCTCGTATTTCATAAATTTTATATGATTTTGAGGAATTTTTTATAATTATTTTGTCACACAAAAGACAATTTCCATCCATCACAACAAGTTCATGAACCTTGGGTGGAAATGTGAATCAGTCAAACTCCATCGACATGGCAGTCACAAGTCACAACCCCTAGTCCCAACCATAATTTTGTAGACTTGGTCCGAACGTGATGACAACAAATTAACACCATTCTTCTTCAACTGTGATTTTGTTCTTGCATGATGAGAAAGACACGTACATGCTAATTATGATATTACCGAAAGGGACTTGAGCATTACTGATTAAATTACACACAATATCTGTGTTTATATATATATATATATATATATATGTGGCATATTTTTCTTATGTTTCACATCAAACTCATTAAATTATTGGTTGCCATGACAAGGACTAGAGAACCTAATTTTCTTTAATTAATTGTCATGGATGCTTATTCTTTTCTAGTTTTGTTGTATTAATATCAGACATATTCATCATATATTTTTCAACAATTTTTTTTTTTTTTTCATTCAAATGTACAAAAGCCTGTATAAAAACATAAAGTCAAGTAAAAAAATATACAAATCTTAAAACAAAACAAATAAATGAAAAACTAGAAAGCTAGTAATTCCCACGTGAGCCTTGAGTTCATTGGTTAATTGCCTCACTGTAAAACTTCTTGTTGTCTCTGGTGGCGCTCGCTAACATTGACTTAGACTTAAAACACAGTGATGTTTCTCTTTATTGATTTGTTTCTCCCTAGCAACTTCAACCCTTTTTGAATAGTTACTCTAACTTTATAATTTTCATATATAAAAATATATGTATATAATATATTATTCATCTGGGTTGTAAATTGTAATCCTGTCAAATTGTACTAAACCTCTCTTACCATAATGTTGTACAGTAAAATACTTTTTTTATAATTACTCTCTTAAATATGAATTTTGAAAATTTGTGTTAGAGTGGTGTGACATATGAACCAATTATTTTGACGAAAATATTTTTTTGCACGTCTATTTTATCATATTTACAATTGATTTTACAAAATGAGAAGTTAAATAATATTTGTTGTGGAATTGTCTTAATAGTATAGTGAATAAGTGGCCTCTTGTGAATTTTGGAATGTTAATTATGCATATACTAATATAATTTTTAATACTTTTTGTATTGAAAAAAAAAAATAAAGTACTTCTTGTATTGAAAAAAAAAATAAAGATATTTGTTACGTGCGTAAAGATATTTTTTTTTATTAAAACAATGAGTTTATGTGTTATGTACGTTGACCCTTTTTAACACTAATTTTCCAAAATTCTTTGACAAGAGGAGTAATTTTGCAATAAATCAGATATTTGAAATCAATTGGACTTAAAATACTAATAAAAGATTTGGTATAAAATCAATTTGGATTTGATTCATTCTTCTAAGTTGGATCCACGTACTATATATATATTATTTAACCAAGGGAAAAAGTGGTTGCACTTTGTTGACTGCACCCGGTACGCGGCTTTGAGAAACAACACGGACAGTTGTTGTTTGTTGATGAACTTCAGTTTATTAAATTAATTAATCCACTTCTTTTTATTTTTTTTACTATCTTAAACAATAACGATTTCTTACAGCTCTCATGCCATCCTGCACAAGCCCATGATGAATCATGTGAATGGTGATGCCTTTATTGCACGTTTGATGGGCCCACAAGAATGAACGTGTGGAAAAATCAATTATGATATTATTGAATTTTTATTGTTTATTATTTATTATTATTATTTTTTAAAACTTCAAATTATTGACTTGAATACATAAAATGAAAAAATATATATATTTTCACTTAAACATTTTTTTTATATTTATTTATTTATTTTATTTATTATTTATTGTTTTGCTATTTGTAGAACTATGTTATTGTAATTTTTAACCAAAAACGGAATTGGTTCTAATGTTAGTGCCATCGTACGGCTGCCAAAACCTCTTGTTACTGAAAAAAATTATTTTAATCTTTTCATGCAAGTCAAAAGTTTTTTTGTTTGGTAGGAAAAAAAAATGCAAGTCTCTTTGAGGCAAAAAGACCAAGAATTCAAACATGAAGCTAAGACGTTGAATATATACATATATATATGATATATGTCAATAATGTCACTAAATTGACTATTAAAGAGCCTATTAAATTGTGATAATTAGATGGCCGCTATTCACCGAAAAATAATAATTAGATGGTCGTATAACTAGTGGTACAATCCCCCATTCACATGCTGAATTTTCCACTATTAAAAATATTCAGGAAATTTATAGGTTAGTAACCAAAGTCAAAGGTAATAGATGTAAAGTGACCAAAGTTACGTAAGGATAAATGGTTATCAATTCTAAAATTATATTGCTCACCATTTGAGGGTAATTTTGTCAAATATTTTTACATGTTTGCCAAAAAAAAAATAATAATAATTATATGATTATTTTCATACTTACACACATATCTTTACTTAGGCTTAAATCACTGACCTCCTTTTAAAAAATAAGAACCTAATAATTACTAGCCTATTGATAAATGTATGATCATTTTAAAACTATTATATTTGATTTTGGTCATTAAAATTTAATTTTTTCATAATATCCTCACTTATTATAATAGTATTCGCTAACATTTCAATACCTCAATACACACACAAAAGATAAGATTAGGATTTGTAGCTAATAATTCTTAGGGAATCATGCAATTGTAATAAAAATTGGAGTGTGAACAATTTTCCTCTATTATAATTTATAATGAATGCAATTACATGACAATTGTTGGATGAACATTCAAAATACTTCATGTTGTAATCATCATGGGTATAATTTATATCTGATCCTAACTATGCGCTGTATCTACAATCCTTCCAACCATATATATATATATATATGAATTAAACAGAATGTTAGGTGTAGATATATAGTAACATGCATGGTTTTCAAGACATGATAAAATGTGGTTTACAAGGGAGATGTCAATACTTGTATGAGAGAGATGTGTACAAACAAACTGCAAATGGTGCAATTATTGAACCAAAATCACATCACCTAACGTCTATATATAGGTTCACAGGAGGTCCCCCCATTGTGAGGAACTCTAGTCTGGATCAACTTTTCGCAGTGCGTGGGCTTGGGTCCAAAACGTGTGAATTTTTTTTTTTTTTTTTTTTGAGAGAGATTAGATTATTGCGAGTTCTTCATTTTATTGCACCTCATAAATTTTGTAAGCAATATAATAATAAATATATATATTTTCCTAATAGTGAAAAACTCACGCATTCATTTATTTTATAGGGAATTTAATTGTAACAATATACAGTAATAAGATACTTTATAAATAATAAAATACTACCCCTTCATGAATGGACTTAAATTCTAGCTAATTTTTCCATATTATCATTGAAATTCAACTAGAATGATTAAACATTTTATAATTATGTAAAAATTAGTGCAACATTTCTCTTCGCATTATCCAACTTAAGATTTTTCTCACTCCAAGATGGTTGTAAAATTAGTGGAACGTAATGGCAAGAGAAATTAGTGGAACATTTCTCTTGCCATTATCATTGAAATTCAACTTCGAATGATCAAACATTTTATAATTATGTAAAAATTAGTGGAACATTTCTCTTACCTCTATCCAACTTAAGATTCTTCTCACTCCAAGTTTGTTTGTTTTGTTTTGTTTTGTTTTGTTTTTTTCACATACTCAGTGTGAATTAATTCATCACGCGGTGAACAGATATATAATGGATTTCTCCAAAATATGTCAATTACACTTTCCATGTATAAATTTCTTTCTGACCATATTTGCACAATGTGCTAAATCTTTTAAGTGCATACAACAAAAAAATGATTGTTCCTTTGATCACTAGTAGTTTTAGATGCAGAGAACCTAAAGTTTTAGGCTCAAACTCTTCAGCTTGTTTTGTAACCTGTGTAGAAGGGACGATTTCTTTGCTTTCCGAAAATGCCGGTGCCATATGCGGAAGACACTGCATCCACGAGTAGGGGGAATTGTAAGGACACAAACAGGGTGACCAGTAGACAAGCCGATACAGCCACTGGAAAAATGATCCATGGATTTTCCTTACCAGACACGAGATATAGCGTGGCACTGAAGGCTATCATCATGGATGTTATTGAGAGGAACATGGTAACAAGACCGATAATTAACCTTTTGGGCAGAACATAAAGAAAATCATTTTCTGCATAGCGCGAGGTAAGGATGGACAAGAACAGTAACACGGAAGCTGTGGATGTAAACAGAGAGATTGCATCCAAAGCAGCAAAGATTGTGAAGGCTTGTTCGGTGGAAAAAATTGGATGACCATCATCCTTGTAGCCGCCTAGTACAGTAAGAGCTGCTGCAAATACGACAGTGGCAATGAGTGTTGCAGTAACTATGCATGAATTGACAGCGTCTTTCGTCCATTTCTCTCCTTCTATTACCAAGTTCTCGTGTTCCATACTAAATACCATTGCAGGAGGTTCTTTTTTTTATTATTTTGTATTTCTCTAAAGGCAGGGTTAACAAACTTCTCCACTTCCTGTACGATGACCATAACTTTTGAGTTATGTAACAAACTTTGATGTGTTTCTCAAAAATTAAACTATTCCATTGAAGATGATAAAGAAGTTTGTTACCTTAAACCATTGTAACTCGCGCTGCATCTGCAGAGCTGCACCAGAAACAAGATCAAGCTTATGTGGAGGTGCCAATTTTGCAGCCATGTGCAAGATAGTGTTCCCGGAGTTGTCTTTGATGTGAGCATTCGTTTTATGCTCAGTCATATGATATAGAAGGTTGAAAATATTTTCATAGCGTTCTGTGACTGCCACGTGAAATATGAAACACCGATCTTCCATCGTTTTTATATCTAGTAGAAGTTTCGATATTCGTACTCTAAATAGGTCAAAACAACATTACAAACAGACAAAAATACAGAAAACTGTTTGAGCTTCTTTCTTTTGCTAAGCTTTTTCTAATTCCTTTCTTTGGGAAGAAACCCTACAACACACACACATGTATAAGAGATGTCCAATAGAGGAGGAGGAGGGAGATACAAGAGAGACCTTGTGGCGGCTTTTAGGGTTTTGAAGATTGAAGATTCCAATTGGCGGTCCATGGAGATGACTTCTACACTAATAATGATGACATCTTTACTCTCTATGAGTAGCTAATTAAAGCATTTCTTAGGGAATTGATGTAATCCTAGTCCTAGTAGCATGGTTTGATTGTTCTTAACTTTGTGAATTTTTTTGAATTATGTATATTGATTACATGGCTGTGAGTAATTGATTTAGTTATACTAAGCAGTTGGGTTTTAATGATTATAATCAATTTTAATGAAATTAATCTTCTGTCTTAGAATTGGTTTTATTATAATTGAATTAAACTTCTTTTATTGTGAGAGATTGACGGTTGAGAGTTTCTCTTAATAGTTTAAGTAATGATCATGCAATGGTGCTTAATGAATGTGTGAATGAATGTTTTGATAATTCATACTTAGGGAAGACAAGTTGTATTACACCCCAGATTAGAGTAGTTAGGTAGATAATTCATTCCAACCGAAGATGAGTTATGGCTTAGTGTTTATTCATATATATCTTCTTAATTGAATTAAAGTGTGTTTTTAGCCACTTGGTTCCCGAATATGCATAAGTATGAATTTTCCCATAGTTGAAGCAATTAACCATGTTACGAGGCTAGTGATGAAGCTAATACCCTAATTCCCTTATCTCTTGATATCTATTCTCCACTAACTTAGTTTATTTTCAGTTTTTATTTTCATTGCGTTTAGAAATATAAAAATAACACAAATTCTCTTATCTTGAATCAAATCGGAATTAATTTCATACTTAACAAATCCACCACAGTCCTTGAGGTTCGACGCTCTCAATATAACCCTATCCTATAAGGATTTGTTCTATTGCGAGTGATTTTTATCATTGATAATACACACATCAATTTTTGGCGCCGTTGCCGGGACTATGTAACGGTTATTGTTAGATTAGAGATTAGTTCTAGTTTGATTGTTAGTTTATATCTTGTACATAATTTTCTATTGATTTATTTTTGTTTTCAAGTGCAGGAATTTAGATGCACGAGATGAAGGAGGTAGTCGAGTTATTAGATAAAGGCTAGAGAGTGACATTCCGTCTTACTAGAAACGTTAAACTTAGCACCCATGGGACACACTGTATCTTGTTTATAATTGTTGATTTCAATCATAATTTTCAAAAAAAAAAATAATAATAATAATAATAAAAAAATTATTATTATTATGTAGTTTTTAGTTATATTCGATTTTCTTTATCATGACTCTTACTTTATATATATATATATATATATATGATATATGATAGTGTGTTTATTATTTCATACCCTTTGAGGACTTGTTCACTCTCACGTGGTGGTGTCTAGTTATTTTCATTGACATGTTCTTGCATTCAAGTTTGGAGGTACCACCTTACTTGACAATTGCCTATGCTTCGGACGGTTTGATTTTGACATTCTTCATTTCTATGGCTATATTGTCTCTATGTAGTATATCTTTATACGATTTCTCATAGACGATGCCAAAGTGTAGGTGCAAAAATTTGTAAGTGTAGGTGCAAAAATTTGTTAACTTTGAAAAGTTAAAAAAATAATCGCCACACACTCAATGAAAACAATGAACATAAGATAATAAGATTCAATTGTCTCTATTTATTGGAGGTTTAAACCTCTATTTATACATGTTTGTGGAAGAATTAGAGTTGGACTGGCATTGCTTACCCCCCACAATCCTTCCATCATAGATGGTTTCCTTCTATAATTCTTCCATATAGGAATTCTTCTATAATCGCAACTCTAAGACCATCTCCAATGCAAAATGCTATTTTTGCATATCAAAATTATATTTTGATAAGTACCACAGTGTCAAAATGCTATAGTTTACCAATTCAGTTTCAATTATGCATTTCATCAAAAATGCTATTTTTTTTTATAAATTCATTATTTTTTTTCAACTACCATTCACATGCATGACCGTCTTGATGGGAAAGTATCTTATGCAATTATTTCTTCAAATTTGATGTTATTGTTCTAAGACTTGATCCTAAAAAGAACTAGCATGCTTGGAACCTTGTTTTACTCCTCAACAATATTATAAACAAGTCATCACTTAAAATGGCTCCTCTCCTAGTACTCCTACCGAGCAGCACACTTAACAATGGGAACTTCATAATACTGCTGCCCGCTAATTTTTGCTAAAATTCAGTATAGTGTGTCCTGTTAAAATGTGAAAAAACTACACTGTTACATATGTAACGGGATTCCTTAACCCCCACATGACATAGCTGGTACCATAAGGTCTTTTTAACAATCTTTCTTCTCACTTGCTTTGCATTGCAGTGTCAAATGTTATTAAACATACAAACACCATCATAAAAGCCGTAACTAAGAACTGATTTTTATAGACATCCCAAAACTTTTTGCATCAATTATAATACAATGTAAATACATTCATCTGGATCACAAATTAAGTGGTAATCACTGGTCCGTACCATCTAAAAAACATGCCACAACAGGTAGTATGACAAAAAGAAATAACCCCCCAATAATTTACATAACATTTTAGCTTATGATCTCAGAAACAAAAGCTAAGCCTGGAGTTCCACCCTCTCAATTTCCAACATAAGAGCGCACACAGAACTATGCATCAGCATCATTACACCAGATATAATATAGTTACCAAAAAATTATCAAATAAAATACAAACACTAACCAAGATCTTCTGATGCTCACATTGATAATTTTAGAGAAAATTGCCCCAAAATCCCAAACTCAATACAAGAAAATTGTGAATCATTAAGATACATATACATATATTGTATATATAACAACACTTACATGACTGATTTCAAATTGACGGTTTCAAGAAATGAAATTGGAGGGTTGAGGAAAGCCGGATCTGTAAATGCCATCTTCGACCAAGGAGAAATTGGCGGGTGGAACCAGAACGACGTCGTCTCGTTCTTCTTCTTCATCAATAATCAAACCCATTTGGGTTTGGTGCTCTGTTTTCTGGAGAGGTTTCGATTAGTGCAGGGAGGGTCAAGAAAAACAAGAAGACATTGTGGTGCTGGGTACAAAAATAGGGCTTTGTATTGAGAGTTAGATATACAAACATATATATATATATATATATATATATAGAGAGAGAGAGAGAGAGAGAGAGAGAGAGAGAGAGAGATTGAAGTCAGATTTTGGAAATGGCAACAAACTTGTCGTTGCAGATGAGAGGGAGAGAGAGACGACAGGGCAATGCAATGAAAGGGACAGAGAATGGAACGAAAGGTAGAGGAGAGACGGATATTGAGGGAGATAGAGACAACAGAGGAATTACAGAAACTTGCCAAAAAAAAAAAAAATTGGCAGCTGCTTTGAAAGTTTCAAATTTTGAGACTTCAAATGAGAGCGCACTATTTAGTCCCCTCTCATATATTTTGAGTTAGAGAGCTCAAATGAAAGAATATCGGAGTTGCTTTAAGTGGTTGGTGAAGTACACAAATGAGCTTTCTTTTTCACGGATTATGACTTGGTGGGCCGAAGATGGACAATTGGGCTGGCATTCTTATCTAGCGGGTTGAGAGATCGTCTTCCCTTTCTTCTGGCTTACTTCTTTGGGCCTTCATAATTGGGCAGCTCGAGAGAAATATTATGTAAAATTTCTCTTGACGAGGTGGTTAACTCTGATTGGACAACAAGATTTTTCCCCCACAGCCACACACACACACACACAGAGTGTTTTAGCCTAAGTTGTAATTTAGCCCAACCTTTTTGGTGCAACGGGACTAGCCCAGAATGCAAGCCCAAATGCAAACAAAAATCCCAGACCAAAACAAGGCCGAACAAAAAACCTCACACTCCCAACCCACTACAGAACCAGAGGGAAGAAGGAAGAAGTGCAGCGAATCAAAACAGGAGCACTATGGAGGTATGGCTCTGATGATCATGGGTCTCGATCTCCCTATTACAGAGAGCATGTTTTGTCAAATTGCCTATTAGAGAACTGGGATTTGTCTCTGGTTTTCAACTTGGGGTGGATAGCAACCCATGCTATAAATGAGTGTCTCATAATGTGATTCTTAAACCAAATGATATGTGACCAGTTGACCCGAGGACTAAGGGGAAGGAGAGCATTGTATGTGCTCTTAAGGTGGTATGAACCAGTGGGGGAGATGGTCCATAAGGCTTTATCAAAAATAAAGGGGGGAATTAAATTAAGGGGTTCCCATAGTTGGGGCAACAGCTTGAAAGGCTCTAGGAACTCTACACTGGGATTTGCCTAATAAGAGTACAAACTTTGGCATTTCCACCCCAATGGGAGTTTGAGCCAAGTGGTCCTAATGGCAACCAAAAGTCATACTATAAAAACATGTGTTTCCCATCTCCCACCATATGTTTGATGAAAGGCCTAGCCTTGTCACTTGATTTCAGAAGCATTCTCCAATTAGAGGAACAAATATAATTTGTTTTGAGTGTCCAGAAACTACCATCCTTTATGTAATTTATCCAATAAATAATTAGGATTCACGCTTATTTTAATTTTTTCCCCCTAATTTGGAAAGAATTCACACTCTACTCAAGTGAACAAACCATGACTGTAATTAATTAATGATCGTGGACTTCTTAATTTTTTTATCTTAGTATATTATAATTGATTTGGTGGAAATGACTATAGATGTTCTAATTCAATTAGAAATAGTACGTACTAGCTAGAAGAGAATTAATTCAGAAATTATCACATCAAACAGAAGCTGCACACCAGGTTGTTCTACATATGGGGAGAGATGGTGATGGTGTTTGGTTGCGTTCATTGAAATATAAAAGTATACAAAGCAACCAAGTGGATTGGAAACAAACCATCCTTGTTCTTCATTTGAAGCCAAAACAGATAAAAAATACAACAGGATGAGAATGCATAATTACAACAGAAGACAAGCCTCGACTACTTCTACAGCAGAAAGCAACCCAAACTTCTCTGCACCTAAATTCTTGGATGTTCTTAGTAGAATGGACGATCACTTTGCTTACCGAAAATGCCAGGACCATATGTCGAAGAGATCACATCCACTAGTAGGGGGAATTGCAAGGAAACAAACAAGGTGACTGGTAAACAGGCTAATGCAGCCGTTGGGATAAGAATCCATGCTTTTTTATGTCCAAACACAAGATAAAGCGTGGCACTGAAGGTTATCATCATGGATGTTATTGAGAGGAACAAGGTAACAAGACCGATAATCAACCTTTTTGGTAGACTATAGAGAAAATCTTGTTCGGCATAGCGTGATGTGAGTATGGACAAAAACATTAACAAGGAAGCTGAGGATGTGAACAGAGAGATTGCGTCCGACATGGCAAAGATTATGAAGCCAATTTCTTTGTTAAAATTTGGGAGGCCATAATCATTGTAGTCGCCTGGTACAGTAATAGCCGCTGCAAATACTACAGTGGCAATAAGTGCTGCTGCAATTGTGCATGAATTTGATGTGTCTTTCATCCATTTCTCTCCTTCTCTTACCAAATTCTCGTGTTCCTCACTAAATATCATTGCTGCAGTTTTTTCATCTTTGTTTTTCATTTCTCTGTAGGCAGGGATTACAAACTTCTCCACTTCCTGTATGAAAGCCATAAATTCAAAACAATGGACAACTTTGATATGTTTCTTATATGAAGTGGAATGTTAAATTTTAAAAATTAGTTTCTTTTATATACAATTCAACTAAAAACATTAGGGGTGTGAAAATGATTGCGGGGCTAAAAGTTTCATGCAAAAAAATGGAACCATCATTAAAAAAATTTGTAACAAGATAAATGAGTTGGCTATACCTTAAACCATTGTAACTCACGCTGCATCTGCAGAGCTGCACCAGAAACTAGATTGAGTTTATGTTGAGGTGCCAACTTTCCAGCCACGTGCAATAAAGTGTCACCATTTTTGTCTATTAAGTTTATCATGTACTGCATAAATTCACTCATTTGATACATGAGGTTGAAAACATTTTCATTACGATTTATAATTGCAAATTGAAATATGTAATGTTCATTTGCATCACGGGACCAAATTGCATCGGGAAATGTATCCACTAGTTCTTGTAAAACCTCATGAATACCATGCCTTGCTGCCTCAAGGGTTGGTTCGTTGAAGTTCCAGAATGTGTCGTCGAAATCAGTAATTGAATGGATTAATCCTTCGCACAAGCGTTTGACGAGTTGAAGAGCTTGATCATGCCCCGACATTTTTTCTTGAATGTGCTTGATATGCGGTACTGCAATTTAGATAGTAAATAAAGGATTTCTCTGTGGCTTTCAATTGAAACTACTATGTTCACTTAAATGTAAATTTGTCGTCTCTCACCTAATAACATGGCTTTGGCAAGTAGGACACGCAATTTATGGCGTAGCGTACCTGAAAATTAACAAAGTGGTTGAATAATTTGAAAAGAAAACATACGCCAGACTCATGGACTGGCGCATATGAAATTTAAATTGCCTATATGTATGGCATGGAATCAAACTTAGCTAGCTACATAGACAAGCGTAAATTTTTGGGCATTTTATTAAGCATTTGATTACAGATCAAAATTTATGACATACCAAAGTAGTAGTAGTAGTTTTCTCTGCCACTCATCTGCGGAGGAACTTGAGAGATGTCTGCTGGATTCTGAGTGTCACAGGTATTTGGGTTGTTGTTAGGGTAGTTCTCCAACTTCACAGGAACACCTTCAAGACAAAATGTATATATAGCAAATTAAATGAGTATACACTTATCACTTCCACCGTACCTTTAATCAAATTTGAATTATATGGTTTTCTAGTATATATACACATATAATCATTAACCTCTTCATATATATATATATATATATATATTGTTGGGATTTTGGCAGATTATATATTATTGGGATTTTGGCAGAATTTCATTAGTTGAATGATATAATTGTGGTGGTCAATTGTGTGGTCGTGTGGATTGCTTAATGCGCAAACTAAGGGGGTTTGATAAGGCAATAAGCAAACTGTAACGACCCAAAAAGATACCGGTCGACAGTACCAAAAAATAAATAAATAAATTTCGGCATAACCTTTGCAGAAAAAGTCCTACTACGACCTGCTGAAATACATATAAAATGTAATGGTCTCACTTGGCCTTAAAACTAATCTATTATGTTCCAACGCATAATGCAAATAATATACAACATTCCCAAAATCAACACATACATATAAAAAGAGTCCCATTCCTCCATCTCATTCAAACATGGAAACATAAGTCCACTACCTAGTCCCATAATCCTTTACAAGGAACGTACTTTAATTACAATAAATTACAGTCCATGAAATATAGTTAAAATTAAAAGTCCATAACTTACAACATTATACAATTTAAACTAAAATTTTACAAAATAATTAAGATTATATTTACAAAATATTAAAGTTCAATTACAAAAGATAGCAAAATATAGATCTCCAATCCCGTCTAAACTTGTGGTGGATCGTCGTCCGCCACTTCTTTCCCATGTCTTGAAAAAATTAAAGTAACGGGGTGAGCCAACTGCTCAGTAGGAAGTATCTAAGACACACCTCTTACGATCCCGTGAACCCATATAAGGAATAGAATATAAGCGAACGGGATCATGTATGCATCGGGAAACAAGTAAAATAGTAATAATATCAACAAATAAATACACAAGTCATCCGACTACCAAGTGTGTAATATATGCCAATGATATCCCATGCCATGAAATGTCGCTTTCCATTTCAGAAACAATACCGTTTCACCTTTTTAAACCGTTAGTGCAGTCCGACCCAAGATGACTCCAAGGCATCACGAGAGGAGGATTGGCTAACTATCCACGACCACAAGGCAACTCTAAGGTGTCGTATCCGTCCTAGGTAGCTCAACTACGCTAGGGTCTCTCCCTAGTCCCCTCTAGACCACATTAACGCCGCGGACCACTAGACGACTCCTAGGCGTTCGAGTTTACGCAAATACTTTTCGAAAACTTTTTTCCCCAAAACATTTCTTTTGCTTTTTAAAAACACTTTTCCCTTTTTCTTTCCCAATAAATGCATGAATGCCTCATGCTTCATAATTATTATGTCAACAATGAAATTTCATATAAGTTACTAATTAATAACCACATACTTATACATCATGCTTTCAAATAAACAATTTATCATATAGAACATACCATGGCATAAATTTAATATACTTTTCATCATATCATCACAAGAAACATGTAATTGAACCAAATATTCATATAATCCACATAATCACATAAAACATGAATTAAATAACCAAATTAAACATGCTTAGGGGAAAATTAAGAGGGAAAATTTCATTAGAACCAAAGAAAATGTGGATTAGAGCACCCCTACCAAAATTGAAGAAAAAGCCCCAAAAATGCCAAAAATTTGAAATCCCAAATGGTGGCCAAATGGATATTTGTTCCGATCAAAACGAAGATCTCGACGAGCTCTCCAACTTTGCCTTAAGTGGCAATACCAAATTCCCAAAGATAAGAGAGAAATCTTGGCTTGATTGAAGAAGAAAAAAGAAAGTAAAGGGAAATAGAGAGAACCAAGGCAGAGAGTGAGAGAAATGGTGATTCTGTAATAGCCTTAAGACCACTATAATTGTTGTATAATAATGGGTCCCACAAAATTATAAATATCTTACCTTTATAACATTATTATTATTATTATTATTATTATTATATATTCTAATTAAATTACAACCATGCAATCAACTATGTAACCATATAAAATGCATTAAATAATCACGCATGCAATGGACACGTGACATAACCCCTGTGTATAACAACCCTGGTAGTGGGTCCCACCTGGGACTTCCTAGTTTGAAAATGAAAAAAAATGCCGAAATGGCAACCAATGTATTTCCAAGAGTCCTGAACTCAATGAAATGTCCCAAACAGCACTCTGACACATCCGGCACATCCCACGGTATCCGGCACGCAAAATGAAAAAAGAGGAAAATACCATCGAAAAAAACAAAAAATTCTAAAAAATAAAAAATGATAAAAATTGGAAACATTACACAAACTTTAAGAAAAATAATTGATAAGGAATGAATTGATTTTTGTGGCGGCAACTTTGGCTTATAAATTAAGGATAACACGCATGCAAAAGATGGAGATCTCAGTGAGATCCTCCAGAGATTCAAGAGAGATATTCTGATGGTATAGTCGAAATAAGTTATATTGGTTTTTTTGTGTAAAAAAAATCCTTTTTTGTGTATAGTCTTTAAGAGAGATTTTGAGGTTTGTCTTTGGGTAAGTTTTTTTCTTATGTAAACCATATAATTATTGGAGGATTTTTTTTGAAGCGTTCGGTGAACTTTTTTTCGTTTGGTGGGTGACGTTTCTTCTAAGAAGAAGGATTATTGTCTGAAAGAACCAAAACGTTCTTCAATTTGTAATCTTCTTCTATGTATATGGTGATACGGATCATCATCGCGGTAACCCTATTTGTGAGGATGAACCATGTATAAATCTTGTCGTGTGGGGTGCTTTATGTTATTAGGATTTGCCATTATTGCATGTATTTTTGTTTGGGTCACTTCTACACAACTGATTGGTGTTAGAGGTTTTCGTTGCTGCCTAACAAATTGGTATAAGAACTTCCGCTATACCCAACATATATATATATATATATATATATATATATATATATATATATATATATATATATATATATATATAAAAGGGGTAAGTGCAAAAAACACCCTTGAAGTATATATTTGATAGCACTTTTAACCCTTATTTAAAAAGTTGTGCAAAAAAACACCCTTATTCTTTTCAATTTGTGCAAAAACATCCCTTAATTAATATAATGCCTATTTTACCCTTTTACTCTTCCAAAAATGTCCTTACCAAACATCATTTTCTCTTTTCTCTTTTAACCCTTCTTTCTTCAAAGGAGAGCTGCCGACAGACCGATGAGAAGTTAAAATAGAGGATGGTTCAGCGGTTTGGCAAGGATGGTGGCGAGCTCCGAAATTGATGGGTCTGACTGAGACAATCAATAACCCTCAAAGCACTCAACCAATATAAATATCAATCTACTACATAAACATAGTTTAGTGTTGTTACTCCTCTATATGCAATTAGTAGACAACACCAATCAGCTCTAGTCAGCGGAGAACTGATTCCAACATAGAAATCCAGATCCAGATTCACATTATGTATATATATATTGAGAAATATTACTCTCATGACCAAGATCTGGAAAACCATACATTCCATATACGTACTGTAAATATATTGAGTGTAATGTTTCCAATTTTCACCATTTTCCATTTCCTGGGATTTTCTGTTTTTGCGAGGGCATTTTCGTCTTTTCTCGTTTTGCGTGACGGACACCGTGGTATGTGCCGGTTGTGTCAGTGAGTTAATTGGGGCATTCCATTAAATTCAGGACTCTTTGAAATGCAAGGTTTGTTATTTTGGCATTTTTATGTTTTTCGGGCCGGACGGTTCCGGGTGAGACCCGTTACCGAAATTGCAGTGTACGGGGGTTATGGTTTGGTCCAATTGCATCATATTCATTTTTATTTAATGTGTTGCATGTGGTTGTGATTTAACATGTGACTATATATATATATATTAATTAGTGGTAGAAATTTAAAAGAAAAGAAATTTTTTATTTAAAGGTGGGACCCACTATTTTATTTAAGAAAAAGGGCCAAGGGGTCAATTTTTGACCTCATTTCCTCACTTTCTTTCTCTCTTTACGGGTCTCTCTCTCTCCCTTAATTCTCTTTTTCTTTTTCTTTTTCTTTTTCCTTAAAGTTTAAAATCTTGATTTCTCTCAAACCGTTTAGAGATTTTTGGTGCCGTTTGCGGCAAATTATAGAGCGCGTCAAGATCTACGATTTGATCGGAGCAATTCTTTGTTTGGTACACTTTGAAATTTCAAAATCTAGGGCACAAAATTGGGGATTTTTGCTTATTTTGAGGTAGGCGTTTCTAATTCCCAATTTCTTGTTCATTTGTGAATTTTCTTTTAATATTTGTTATCAAGCATGTTTAATTTGAGTAGATTGCCTTTAAAATGATGTAAATGTTGTGTATAGAATTCATGATTATATGTATTAATTAATTTATATGAAAAACATGCATAAGTGTTAAATTTTCATGCCTATGATGTTTATTAACTTGTTAGAAATTGTTATAAGAAAGTATGTTAATTAAATTGTGTAGTATTAATTTCCTTCATTTTCATAGTATTGAAAAGGCATGTGACATGCATTCATAGCATTGGGCATGAAAAATGGGCAAAATGATTTTAAGTGAATGAAAAAGGGATTTTTGGGGCAAGGTTTTGATTAAAGTGTTTTTATAAAAAAACCCAGTAACCGCGGAGTTACCAAAGGGTCGTGGTGTTAATGTAACCTAGAGGGAATTAAGGGAATTAACCTAGCATGGTTGAGCTATCTGGGCCCCAAATGACGCTACGGAGGTACCAAGGGTCAGGGACAGTAGCCAATCCTTCTCTCGTGTCGCTGTGGAGTTACCAACGGATGGGTTATATTAATAGTTTGTGAAGTAATAGATGATTTTGAAAATGGGGAGCGACATAGCACGGTATTGCATTGTATAGCACTATATTGCCCATTTGGACTTGATATTGATGCTGTATTTCCACGGTCAAACATGATCCCATTTTCTACATCTTTATTCTTTATTTGGATTCACGGGGTCACA